CCCCAATCTAGTAGGCAATTACAGCAGGTGGAAAGACCCTGCACAGAAAGGGATATGATACTTTTAAGAAGCAGAGAGAAGGCCACTTAAGCTGAAGCATAGACAGCAGGCCAGAACATGGCAGGGAAGGTGGATGGAGGGGTACTTAGGGGATAGTCTATGAAACACTAATGTGGCCAGATTCAGAAATTTTCTTCTCAAGAAAAGGGAAGCCACTGAACCTGCAGGAGAGTGACAGGAAAGACAGGATTGTGGGAAGATCCAACTGCTGTGGAGCACACTCTGGAAGAGCAAGAGGGGATTCAGGGAGAATGGTCAGTTTGTTCCAAGAGGACAGATGACCGATGCCTGGACCGGCCTCAGATGGTCACAGTGGAGAAGTGCAGAAATCTTCATTTTCCTATTCTCACACCCTGAAAGGATGACCCCACACAGCAGAGCACAATAAATGTTGACTGATGGAGTGCCTGGGGGGGCTTGGTCAGTTAAGTGTCTGACTTCGGCTCAGGTCGTGATCTCCTGGTTCATGAGTTCGAGCCCCGCGTCAGGCTCTGAGCTGTCAGAGCCTGGAGCCTGTTTCCGATTCTGTGTCTCCCTCTCTCTGCCCCTCCCCTGCTCATTCTCTGTCCCTGTCTCTCTCAAAAATAATTAAACATTAAAAAATTTTTTAATAAAAATTAAAAATAAATATTGAATGAATGCATCAAATGAATGCTATTAAGGCATTAGATTATATTTTATTATTACTTATTTCACATATAAAAATAAAGCCCTTATGAAGTCCTGATTTGCATACACCTGTGGCACCACAGCTGTCCCTGTTGGAGGCTTAGTTACCAGATTCTGCTTCCTTTCCAACTGACCGAAAGGCTTAAACAGGCTGTAGCAGGAGGGCTTATGTATTTTCTACCATCGATGGCATTTGTAATCAGAATTTCCACTTAGCAAAAGTGAGCAAAAATGGTGGGATTAAAAAGCAATATTTCATTAGTTGCCAATGGATCCTTGAAAATGGCAAATGGGATTCCCATCACTTCTCAACTTGCCTGGGTCCCGTCCATGTCCCAACCAATTTTCTTAAATACAAGAGTACACCAACTTATAATCACTAACGAGGATGTCAGAATTCAAACAGGAAGCCTATATATATATATATAGGCCTATATATATATATGTATAATGAAGATACTAATTTCTTCACTGTTATATTTTTCCATAAAGCATTCTAATGGATTCATCAGAACTACTGTTCTGTGGGGAATAGGGCCTGTTTCTGCTTTTAAAAGACTTAGCTTTTTCAAATATAAAATGGAACGGTTTAAATGCCTCAAAAAAAATATATGAAGCATAAAACGTTTTGTACTGATGGTCTCTTTAGTTCTTAAATAGTGTGCCTCAATGTAGGGAATGCATTTTTAAGTCGATAAAAGACATACACAAATATAGAAGTCCAAATGTGGGGAATCTTCAATTAATCAGAAAAGTCCTTCAACTACAGATGAAGTCTGGAAGTATAACAACAATTTAATTTGGCAGCCAGCTTGGAATACAGAGTCCCTTACTCATCAGATCCTGAACTCACCACAATCACTACCACCAAGACGAATATTTTGTCTCTTGGTATGAATATTCCCCTTGTGTCTCCAATCGCACCTTCCTGACATGTTGAGGGTGTGTCTTTCTACATCTTTACTTCTGGTCATCGCTCCTAAGACACAAAGCCCGGGCATTCCTTTGTCAACCTCAACTTTTAACTGTCTTAATCTGTCCTTAGCTTAAGTCATAAACAGTTTGTAAATTTAAAGCAGTACAGTAAAAACCACTTTGATCATCAGTGTATTGTCTAACAGAATTTGGAAAAAAAATGGTATCACGTTAGAGAAGGGAGAAAGGAAAAAATCACAGATAATATGACTATAAAGGACCACTATGTATGTATGTGTGTGTGTGTGTGTGTGTGTGTGTGTGTGTACATTAGGTCTCTCTCTTTAGGGAAATCCACAATGGCAGAACTGATACATCAAAAATAAATAGTTGATATACCACTTCGACTTCATTCTGGAAATGGGTAAATTATAAAGGCTTAATTATGCATGTACTTTAAAGAGCTAAGTCCTCGAGGTTCCCCTAGGAATCCCTTAGGTTTGAAAGCTGTTAAGACTGCAGTTTACATAATCCTTCAATGTTCATTACCTTACATTCGATCAGCTATGCGCAACTGATCTCTAAGATTAGTATGTATTGTGACCCAGTTTAAAAATGGAAAAACATGGGGTGCCTGGGTGGCTCAGTTGGTTAAGCAGCTGACTTTGGCTTAGGTCAAGATCTCACAGTTTGTGGGTTTGAGCCCCGCGTCGGGCTCTGTGCTGACAGCTCACAGCCTGGAGCCTGTTTCAGATTCTGTGTCTCCCTCTGTCTCTGCCCCTCCCCTGCTCACGCTCTGTCTCTGTCTCAAAAATAAACAAACGTTAATTTTTTTTTTTTTAATGGAAAAACAAAAACAAAAACAAAGGTTCAGAGAAATCAAGTCTCTCGTCCAAATCATTCAGCTGGTCTAGTTACAAATAAAGCATTTATATCTAGGTTTTCCGACTTGAAGCCCACTATTTTTCTGGGACATCCTACTAGAGTCTGAAGCCAGGTTGTTAACTGTCATGTGTAAACGTGATATGGATAAGACTTAAAGATTCTAATAACTTGACAAGACTGTATTAGAAAATGTTTGATTAACAAAGGCCTCCTGAAATTCGTATTATTGTATAGGCAAATGCCAAAACAAATTTGAAACCCTGAAAACAAGAGACGCTAGAATAATATAAAGAAGACACACACAAGTACGCTTTTGGGGTAAAGTAGCTCTCCAGTAAATTCCTGTTAAAAATAAAAATAAAAATAATAGTATTTAAAGGCTACAGGATTTATTTTTTTTTTAATTTTTTTTTCAACGTTTTTATTTATTTTTGGGACAGAGAGAGACAGAGCATGAACGGGGGAGGGGCAGAGAGAGAGGGAGACACAGAATCGGAAACAGGCTCCAGGCTCCGAGCCCTCAGCCCAGAGCCTGACGCGGGGCTCGAACTCACGGACCGCGAGATCGTGACCTGGCTGAAGTCGGACGCTTAACCGACTGCGCCACCCAGGCGCCCCAAGGCTACAGGATTTAAAATACAATGCCTAAATGGAGTATCAGCATCATGTAGGGATGGTATGAATGTTAAAGTCTGGCTTGTCTCCATGGGGAGGTAGTACAAGTTTCATCAATGCGTTTATCTTCAATTACTAGGCCCTTAAGAAACATAGGAGATTAAAGAATAGGCAAAATTTATCCACAGTAAAAGAAGTCTATACGTAGTGCCTTTGCAGAGGTTATAAACCGGAAATGGCACAAGGGAGGCTTCTGGGGTGCTGGAAATGTTTTATGTCTTGATCTGAGCAAATGGACATGTATGCGTGGATGGAAAATTTCAACAAACTGTATCATCAAGCTGTCTTCAAGATTTGTGTACTTTGCTCCATATATGGAACACCTCAGAAAAATTTTAAAAGAAATTATAGTGAAATATAAACTAAGAAGCCAAGAATTTACGGTAAGAACTTAGAAACAGCACAACGGAAATATTACCATGCTCATCAGTAAGAAAGTAAACACTGCCCTTGAGAAAAGGGGTCCCCATCAGAGCGATACAGACTAAGACAGCACTCTCGGAGGACAAATGGAGGACACTTGAATCCACTGTTATTATGAGAAAGTTGAAGAGTTTCTAACAATTCTGTCTGCACAATGTTCATACAAATTTTTCTATGTCGAGGAAAAGTCAAACAAAAATCAGTCAACTAGAAATTACTTTGAAGACATTTTGCCCAATGATGTGGCACAACTTAAACATGAATGCAAAAACTCAGGCAATTTAAATGAAATACAGGGGCGCCTGGGAGGCTCAGTTGGTTAGGCGTCTGACTCTTAGTTTCAGCTCGGGTCATGATCTCACGATTCCTGAGTTTGAGCCCTGTGTTGGGCTTTGTGTTGACTGTGCAGACCCTGCTTGGGATTTTCCCTCTCTCTCTCTCTCTCTCTCTCTCTCTCTCTCTCTCAAAATAAATAAGTAAATAAACTTTAAAAAATATTCACTGTGTCTTATATAGAAATGACTTAACCCTTAGCGTTTCCTGTGAATGGAACTGCACTTACATCTGTATCAGTACACTAAATATTTCACTACTAAAATCACCCCAACACTGTCTCAAAACCGACAGTGCACAGAGCTAAAGTTTGCTTTCGTGCTTTACAAAAGCAGATGCAGGAAATGAAAACACAAATTCTGCCAGCTGCTCTGGAGTCCTAAAGCCCCACGGCAAGGAGAATCTGTGGCATGTGGGTGACTGCCCTGCATGGCTGTCCAAAAGCAGGTGCGCGGTGCGTGGACTTCAGTCGCGCGAATTCTCAGACACAAACAAAAGCTAACTATGGGGTGGGTGATGCTAGAAAAGTCACTTCTGCCACGGGAGGTCCTTGCCTCACTGCCTCTACCATGAAGCTACAATGTCTGGAATGCAGTCAACATGCAAATCTGTAGTCAAGAGCATTAAAAAAAAAAAAAAAGAAGAAGAAGAGGAAGAGCAGTTAAAAATTTTTTTCTGACTTATGACAGCTCATTCTTTATCAGAAACAGACAAATGAATTCAAGGGCCCAGTTGCACTTCACCCCTCCGAAATAAAAGATGGCAGAAGCCGCCATGTCCATTCATTTTCTCTTTCATAATGCAACCTTTTGATTTTCAAATGTGCTTTGGACCAGCATAAAAAAGTTACAGTCTTCAATTTCACCATAGAGAATGCTACTTACAAACGACCTCGAGGACCTTATCTTGGCCTATGACAACCATGCATGCAGCCATGCAAACATGCATTCATGCAACATAGCAGCACACAACACAGTGCAAAATTGGCAAAGAAAACCAAGTGATGGCCATGCTAGTATTGGTTGCAAGGGTCTCCTTACCAAATAGTGAAATCCTATGCCTGACAAGAACTCCAAGTTTGCAGAATAGGCTGAAGACAAAAGAAAAACAAAAGAGAAAGGGGGGAAGGGGGAGGGAAGATAGAAAAGACAGGGAGAAATTAAAATAAATTTAAAAAAAAAGAAGAAAAAAAAAGAAAAATAAACAGCTGATATATGAGCAGGAAAAAAGCAACATGATGTCACGCAGAAAGAATCAATTTTCTGAGCAGAATGTGGAGTAGAGGTATTAAAGAAAGAATCTTTGAGTGCATATCTTTAACAAACATGGTTAAAAAAGCACATATTATAAGTAAAGAAACCAAAAAAAATTTGAAAGCAAAGCTAATTAATATAAAAGCAATCTATATGAACCCCTTAAGAATATGACTACTCAAATAGCACAAGGAAAACGCTTAAAATTTTATCTGCCCAAATGTACCACTGAAATTCTAGAATTTTTGTTGTTGTTGTTATGGATTATTATTTAAAATCAGAAGTATGGCACTTGGGGCATGAAATGTCACTTTAAGGTTCAGTATGTTTATCATTTGAACTTTCCTTCTTTCCAACCGTGAGCATACCCCTTCCATATACACCAAAGCATCCAGTGAATTTGAACACAGTGAGGTAGAGATAGAATTTGAACAACTGATAATCACTCAGAAAAATGTTGCAGATGCAATAACTTCAAGGGCTCTTCATGCTAATGTTTGACTTAAGCTTATTTCTATCTCCTCCAGAGCAAGTTTCTGGGCCACTGTGTTCCTGGGGATCGGCCGTGGGAGATCCCAAATAAGGGTGGCCTGCATTCAGCAGGACAGCACTGATATGTACTAACTCTCACATCAGAACCTGGGAAAGACCTGCCATTGTCCCAGCTTGTCCCCAGGCTGCAGTCTGGCGGGCTCCTTCCAGGTCTTCTCAGGAATACCCTTCACTCCCTTCCCTGCTATGCTCCCTTCTATCCATCCCTCAGGATTCAGCAACAGACATGTCTACTCCAACAAGCCTTTGCTAACAACCCAGTGCTCCTTCACCACTCCCAGTCCAAGCTGAAAGGGTTCCTTCCAGCCTCTCCTAGGGGTCATGTGCAAATCTCTACCATGACATGTAACCTTCCATATTGCAAATGATACTATTTTCACATCTACCCAAACACTTCTGAGCTCTCAGATAGAGGCTCTGCGTAGCCAGAACTTGATGGAAGCTCTAGCCTGATGACCCATGTGTACCACACCACCCACATCCAGCTTGACTGTCCCAGCTAGATCCTGACTGCCCCATTCTGTCTCGTGAAGCTCTCCCATAAACAGCAGTGTGTAGACATGCCCTCCCCAAGACTGGGGATATGGACGATGCCATGGAAAAAAAATGGAGTCACGAGCTCACGGCAGGACTGGAGAAAGGAGACGGAGAATCACGTCTGTGATGCTGACTTTTTTAACAGTAAGTTTTGGCTATCATCTCTCATTTCTGTAACAATGCAGAATAATGTATTAATGAAAAATAACTATAAAGGGTATCGTACAGTTTTTCCAAGAGAACATGCATCAGCAAATCTCTCAGTGAATTTGAGGTCTTGAGTCGTCTCCTAGCAGTTCTAAAAGTTTTTAAAACAATGATCTATTCAAGCAGGTATGATATTTAAAATGAGATATTAGCCTCCTGAGCTGCACTGTCTCTGTGTTATAATGTAAACAGAAAAAGAGATAATAAAATAAGCAACATTCTCCAGGTGCTCTGACCCACTGAGCCTTATGCTAATTCAACAACGATCTGTCTCCATCTCTAGAGAGTGAGCACTTGTCAGAGTTGTACATATTTTGGATCCCTATATGTATATCAACCTGTTTTAAGTGATCTCGTTTTACTTCTTATGAACTGAGACTCTGTCGTATCAGTGTGAAACATTCTGAGATGATGTTGAATTTGTAATGCTAGGATCATGTTTGAACCCAGTTCATCCAGACCTAGGACATTTTCCTGTGATGAAAAACACAGCATTATTCTGTGTCCGATTCTGTTGGATTATAGTGAATGTCTGAGAACCTGTTTGAAAAAAATGACTTCTTAAAATAGCAATGCTTCTTAACTTTGGTTGTTCCTAATCAGTAGCCGATATGTAGAAATAGAAATATGTAGATATGTAGAAATAGAAATATGTAGATATGTAGAAAACCAGATTCTCACAAAGGACAAACTGTATCTATTTCCCCTCCTGTGCTATCATCAACTTTTAGAGTGGAGTTTGTATATCAACTATAAGGTTTTATTATTATAAGCTTTGGCCTATAGTTTCTCTAAAAATATTCTCCATAATACTGTCTTCTCTTTGTGTATGTATATCCCTCCATTACTAACATTCTTAAGAAATTATAATTCATTGGGGCGCCTGGGTGGCTCAGTGGGTCAAGCATCCAACTTTGGCTCAGGTCATGATCTCAGGGTCTGTGAGTTCGAGTCCTGTATCGGGCTCTGCTCTGTGCTGACAGCTCAGAGCCTGGAGCCTGCTTTGGATTCTGTGTCTCCGTCTCTCTCTGCCCCACCGCGCTCGCTTGCTCACACATGCACACACTCTCTCTCAAAAATAAACAGTAAAACAATTAAGAAAAAGAATTCATAACGCACCTACAATTCCTTGGCTTTGATGTCTCACTGCTCTACAGAAACACTCCCTAGAAATTCTCGGTGCTTGCTGATCAGTAAATCAAATAATACTTTTTCAATCTCGGTCCTGGAAAGCTGCCTATGGTACTTGGCATCACTGACTACTTCAATCTGGGAAACTCTCAGTTCTGCTTTACGGCGATATGTTTCCCCTTCTTCTCTAATAAATCATCCTCAGTGTTCTTCAAAGAACCATTTCTGAAAATCCTTCAGATGTAATGAGTCTCTAAGGTTTGGGATTCAGACCTTTTTGCTTCTCTGTCTACTCTCCCTTCATCTGCTTCCAGAACTGTGAGCATAACATGGGTACAGATAATCTCCAAATATGCCATTTCCGGCTGAATAACCTGCCATGCTTCAGTAATTACCTAACCAAACTGAACCCCTTCTTCTCAAAACCAGGTCTCCGTCATTTCTTTTTTCTACTGTTGCCAGCAATATTGTTCCAACCACTCAGCACTGAAACTCCAGCACCGTGGGGACCTGCCATATGACCCACTGCCAAGGTCTGTGATTTTCTCTCGTCCGTGCTTCCCACATCCAACTCCTCTCTCCACGTACATCTCCTCCGTATTCCCAGTACTTCATATATGTTTCCATTGCACTCGTCACAACTTGTTAAGTGGTTAGCGCTACATGTATGCAGGTACTCAGCTGCACTTTTAAGTGCACTTAATTGGAACTGCATCGTTATATGTGTGTGTTTATCATCCTCAGTCCTAGGACGGCACCTTGGGCACGGCATGGCAGGCATTCAGAAACGCGTGCTGAATGGATCTGTGGGTAGAACCACCTCTTTAAGGTAGCACTTCCCTCACGACAGCCTGCATTGCTGTCATGGCCTCTTAGCAAGCTCACACTTCTCAATCCCACTTTTGTGGCCAGACTGCCCTTTATCCCAATGGCTTCATAGGGCTCATGAATTAAGTAAAAAAGATTAATTATAAAAATTAAAAAGAAAAAAGGAAGAAGGTGCCTTGTTCCAGCAGTTAATATCAATGACAGGGTTCTATAATGAATCTACGTCACCCACACTTACCCTAAATTGCTATGTTCTACACTCTATCTATACGTTATCGACACGTAGAAAATAGTCCCCCTTCTTAATCTACAACCTACAGATTCTTGAAGGTCAATTCTGAATGATCTTGTCTTCTGTATATCTCTAGCCTGTCCATACCCACCCAATGTGGTCTTCCTTGTCCTTGAATCCCACAGCACTGCATGGCTTTCTTCTACTAGAATTATATTTTTACCCACATACTTAGGTACTGCCAGCTACACTCCCAGAGAGCAGAGAGCACACCTTCCTCTTTTCCACAGACATGATGGTGCTGACTTTAGACACAGTAAATGCTCGCCATATGATTTCTAGTGCCAAGAAGTATCCACACATCTAATGGCGACAACCCATTCTTAAATGTGGAGGTTAATTTAGACCCATGCCGTACTGCTACACGCAACTGTTAAATACGAATTAAAACTACTCCTGCAGTGTTCAACATGGGTATGAAGGCATGACTGCTTATTCACAGTAGCAGGGACAGTGGGGTTTTTTTCTTTGTATTTCATCCTTTTTTCTTTTTAACCTATTTTCCCTGCCAAAGTAATATTTAACTGAAGTGGTAAGAAATCACATTTATAAAATTTCAGTGATCCCATTGTAACATGTCTAAAAAATTTGTAGTTGGTTTTTGTTAGTGTGACGGTGATCTGGGTTGTTTTAAGACACAGATTTATGATCAGAAAAGTAAGACTTTTTCCACTTTAAAAATATATAAAAATGGTAAGAAAAACACCTCTACTATGCTACCCAAGGGACACAACTATTAAAATCAAGTTTCTTCCCTACCAATATTCTTCTACACACCCAAATTTAGAGGTTTTTTTAAAGATCTTGATCCATATTATTTAAATAAATATATATTTTTTTACTTTTTAAATAACCATTGTCCTAAGATGTGATATATTTGCATCCATCATAATGTTAATGACCAGACAGCATTTTCCCTGTGCCGTAATTTCTTTATCATGAACTTTATTCATTTTTCATCCCAGAATTTTTCTGAGGTTAAAATCTACCTATGTTTGGTACTCAAGGGCTGTGATGAAATAAGGTACTTCTATCAGTGTGCAGCTCATTCTTATATGTTGGAATGTGAGACCATTTCTCTTTTGGAAATGGTAACGGGAGAAATAAAATGTGCCGGTCCTTGTTGCCTGAGGTGGAGAAAATCTGAAGATGAAATTACAGAAAACCTTCTGGTGAGGCGTTAATAAAGAGGGGGCGTCTCAGGCCCCCAAACCACATCAACTGAGGCTCACACAGAATAGCGATGCTCTTCCAATTTCTTCTATGAGGGGCAGTGGGCAAAGGAAAATTAGTTACCTCTGTGGTCAGTGAACAGCTCTCAGAGTAAGAATGAAAATGGAATGGAGATACAAACATGATGGGGGGGGGGGGAATAGAATTTGCATACTTTTATTTGTATTCTTTCCTATATTCTTTGATTGTATTTCTCTTGGTTTACATAATTGACTGATACCCAAGTTACCAACTCTGGGAACAAAGCTGCTGTTGCAAAATCCTACTCTGATGGGGGAAGGGGGCGGGGGTGAGGAGACTGCAATAGCCTGGGCTCTCTGGTATTGAAAGGTAACTTGATGCCTTGGCATTTTCTAGCCACCGGGGATGGTGGGCTGGTGAAGCGATTAGGGCACTAGTGAAATGCAGAGAGCCAGGCCTCTCTTTCCCAGGAAAAGCGGAAAGAAGACCACTCCAAAGTCAGGAGGAGATTCATACCTTGGAAAGTAGCCCCTCACACCCTTTTTTCTGGTAACAAAGGTGGTGGCAACAAAGTGCGTCAATGGATGGATTCTCTGTTACTTTAACTATAATCGGTTATACCAACTTCACAGGAAGACTATTATTTGAAGAAGTTTGGGGCCATTTTTAACGCGGTTGCAATCTGACATCACATGACATCACATATCATTAAAGTCAAGTCCAAGGAAAGCTTGTAGCCTGCTTTATCTCGGTTACTCATTTTCATAGAAACTTCTTTCAAATACAATCTAGAAGCTTGGTATGGACTCCTGTGTAATTTGATAATACAGAAATAGATTTGCTCTGTAATTGATCACATATGTACTAAATTTTGGTGTATTTTGAAAAATCAGACTTGAAATACCCAGCAGAATCACAAATAAATCTATGAGGAATACTTGGGTTTAAACAGAAATGAGAAAGCATTGCTAAATTGCCAACTTGAGTGGGGCAAATCTTCAGAAAGGTACATATTTTTACGTCATTTTCTTCCAAGATAGGTCATGATTTACACACAAATGTTGAAAAATTTGATTTCTGTAAATGGGATTTTGCCCTCCAGAAAAACTCCTTTATTCTTCAAAATTGTGGCAAATATAGTAGACTCAGAAATTTTAGAGGAAGTAATGTTAAAAGCACCATTTACTGGGGCACCTGGGTGGCTCAGTTGGTTAAGTGTCTGATTTCGGCTTAGGTCGTGATTTCATGGTTCTGTGGGTTTGAGCCCCACATGGGGCTCTGTGCTGACAGCTCAGAGCCTGGAGCCTGCTTCGGATTCTGTGTCTCCCTCTCTCTGCCCCTCCCCTACTCGCGCTCTCTCTCTAGCAAGAATGAATAAACGTTAGAAAAATTTTTAGAAAAAGCACCATTTATCACAAATACTAATGCGGTGATGACTCTGTGGATTCTGTGATGGGGGTCTTACTCCTTCTATTCAGCATGATATTTAGCAGCAAAATGGAAGAAAACTCAACGTTTAGAACACACGTATTAACTTGTAGAGAGCATCCTCCTCCGTGTTTGATCCCAAGGGGCCAAGGGTCAGGGAAGCCGGGTAGACACTGCATGCTCCCACCTCAAGGTCCCCAGATGCTCTTCCTCAAATGCAAATACACTTCGCTCAACAACAGTCTTTATTTTGTGTAGCTCTTTACCTCGTCACCATTTCTTTCTCCTTGTTTGACGCATGTCCTCCAGAACAGAGGGGTCTGCTTGCTGCAGATAAGAAGTATAAACGATGGTTTTTGAAATACTGATCAATTAAAGGAAGCACAACCTGAAAGAAAGGAAAAGAAAACAGATCTACACGGTGGACGGAGACTCTGGGGCAGCCAGACTTCCGTCCACCTGCAGCAGTCCCCCAGTATCGATAGCCCTGCCAGTTGGCACGATTTGAGAGTATGCCTCTCCCAAATCTTACCCTGCTATCTCTAGTCCCGGGTGTGGGGGGAGGTTGGAGGGTGTGTGTGTGTGTGTGTGTGTGTGTGCACATGCATGCGTGTGTGTGTGTGAGAATTGCAACTCCACACTGTCAATTCACTGCTCCTAGTAACTACTCTGTGTGGCAAGCATCATCATCCGTTTTACAGGTATTAAACTGAGGTGCAGAAAGTGAGTGACCTACTCAAAGTCACACTGCCGCTTACCTACCTCCCCAGTGTTCTCACCTGGCCTCTCTCAGAGCTGCCTGGCCTTTCCCGCATGCTAATCCTGCTGCCTTTGGCGAATTCCTCTTCTTTGCCCTGTGTGCTCACATCACAAGGCTCTGCACATGCCATTCCCTATGTCTGAAATGCTCTTCCCACACCCCGTAACCCGTCCACTCCACTCTTCCTGCAGGCCTCAGCTCAGTGCTTCATCAGATAACCGTCCACTGATCTCCTCAACTAGGTAAAAGCCCCATATTCTCTGTTCTTAGAACATCATTTGCAATTTTGCATTTAATACGTGTGATTCTGAACGTCTTTCTCCATAAGAGTCGATAAAATACACAAGAACAATACACATTTCTGGGTCTGTTTCCCATTACTGTGCCCTCCTGGATTCTAGAACAACTCTTTGCCCTCCTTTGTTTACCCCTGGGTCACCAGTACTTAGGACTTTATGGGACCTCCACCAAGCACTAGATAAATATTTGTTAAATAAATAAATGAAAAAAAAAATAACTGGCATTATCAGTATTTAGACTCAAGTCTAACTACATTTTTCCTACAATGTGGCATATGGCATATTTATATATAACAGCAACATACAAATTGTTTGTGATCTTCCTTGAAAGTTGTGACATTGCCTGGATTTTGATTGGCACATAATAGCTAGTCAATAAATATGTGAATGAATGGATTACAGACTCAGAGGAAATAAAACCACATTAGGTGTCTGCAAACAAAATCACTAGGGGTACACAGGGCAATACAAGAATGTATTTTAAATGTATGATTAGAGGCCATGGATACAGCATTTGTAATAATTGGCTATCAAGGGGGGGATTATAATGCAGTATGATAGATAACTAACAATACGCATCCCAGGATAAACTTGGGATGCTTGATACGGATTTTGAGTGCTATACTGAGTGGAAAGAAAAGACAAGAGAAATCTCCCTTACAATAAAGGGCACAAATCTGAAAACATATAAAAGAGGCCAAATATGAATCAATCAAAACAACACGCCATTTTGCAAATGATCTCTAGGAACCAGCAAATGCAAGGACTTCGAAAATAAATTGACAAAAAGCATTACGTCCTCAGGCTAAGTGCAACATCATTTGAACAGGAAAGCTTCCCAAGGGCATTCTGTCTTCGCAACAGGAATCCCCGGGACGTAGTCTAACACCTGACAGAGACTGGACACACGCAGCACATGTTATGCCAGTGAATGGACCCAATGAGGAGAATCTGCAACACTTTGTCTCCTGACTGGAGACAGGAAGTCTGTCTGAAAGGAAGCCATGAATGTTCCTGACTGGCTGAAAGGAAGTCATGAATGTTTGCGGCCTAGGGCAAACTCTTGATAAATTCGTATTAAATGGAATGAAGAACGATATTTGGGTAGACTTTACATATAAACAATTCACCCTCTCTGATCCTCAGCTTCCTCTGCTGTAAAGGAGTAGGACAAGGGTCCCACAATAAAGCTTACACAGTAAAGCTTCTTATCATGTACAACTTCCTAAATTTATAATTTATAAATGAATTCTTTTCCCCTTTATAAAAGAAATGCTCGTACATTTTTAAATCCTAACAACCAAACTGAAGAAGTAGATTATTTTTCCTCTTTGTCATTTGATAAAGCCCAGTAAGGAGAACTTTGATTCCTACAGACTGAAGTGATTTGTGAATTACGGCAGGAAGAGCAGGGAGTGAAAATAAGACCGAGTATTCTGGGCGCAAATTCATCCTACATGACTCATGCACTTATTCCTGTGCCACAAAATATTTACTAGTAGAACTCACACTGGTAGACCAGTACGCTCCGTAAAGAGGCAAAGATCTAAAGGGTATATTCGGTCGACAAACACATGGAGTGAAAAACAAGATGGAGTGTATACTGTACTTTAGCAAAGAACTTGATTTCTTGCTCGTAAGGAAAATGTTCCGCCTTGCTTCTGCTGCCACCATCTGTAGAAATGAAGAGTTGTTGAACATGTTTTGTTTACTTGAAACATTACAAGATCTTCCACCCAAAAAGCAACATGTAGAACACATCACTATAACATCACTGAACGTGTTATCCCAGGAAAGCGAACATAGAAACCCATCCAAAATATCAAGGCTAACTTCATTCAGCAGTATGACAATTTTTTAAAAGGGATTTTCAAAAGTACCCAAATCGTAATAAAAAAATCTATCGAGGACAGCCCACACACACACTGGCATAGCTTTACAAGCTTCTTGACAACGTAGCGGGAAAAGTGGAATAGAGTCACATAAAAACCCCGCATCTTCTTTCGGTAAGAAAGGAGCTCACCAGGGATGACAACAGTGAGTATAAACTCAGTAAACAAAAATTGGTTAAGATTGTTAGATTGGTGAGCCTCTAATAAAAATAGTTGCTTCTTGCTGGGACTAGAAGTTACAATATTAATATGCCAAGTGAAAAATTGCAGGAAGCCAGCCTGGGATGAGCTGGAGGACCACGACCGTAATATTCGGTTGGCAAATTAACATTCTGCTCAGGAGTAAAGAAGTTCACTTATGTCACAAGATAATTTCCATGAGCAAAGCAAAGACACCCGAGTTTTCCCCATGGTTCAAAAGGTTAAGAACTGATCGACCGAATGCACTGAGCTTTGAAGTGGCCCTTCTGTGCCTCCTTCACGCATCCACAGGAGGTGACATCAACTCTAATAACCAGGATGATATGCAGACACACACGAGAGCAAAATATATCCACAACCGGATATACAGTTTTAGTAACATTTGTAAGCAGAGATTTCTTATTGTGTAAGAAGCAAACTGTTGCTTGAAAAAAGTTCTTTTGCAAATAGAAATAAAAGCAATTTGAGACAGATTTTGTAAAATCTGAAACATTAAGTTTGGGATGACTTTTAGGAAATTGAGAGAATATTCTGTAATATCAGAACAATGCTCTTTCCAGCAAATGAGTAAAAGAAAAGCACGGCTTTTGTACACTCGCAGGCATCACTTTTACATTAAGAATATTACTCTCAAGAATATTGTGCCAAGTGGCTGGATCCACGTACGGGACTTTCCCATATAAGCTACGTCTAGACGGAATTTTGCACATCACAAAATACGTTAACAGTTCAAGGAATTACATTGGAAATATCTTCCCTTTTTACATTATGCATTTACATTACACATTTTAACAAAAATGCCTCTGTGCAAAATGCTGATGGAGAGAACTGTGGTCTAGATGGAATACAAAAATCAGAAAAAGGCGTATGCATATTCTTACTACGGCCATTAGCCTCCAATGTGTTGCAAAGGCAGTAAATTTAAAGACAAAAGAAGACATCTAGAAGTTTTCCTTGCAGTGACAATGAAAACTGGCAATTAAAATAAATGTAAAGGGTCCCACCTCTGCTCCTCTAACAGAATTCTTGCATTTTCTCTGTCACAGCCATCCGAAAAAGGAGCCTGTGACCTCGGCTCCTTAATTTCTTGAGTAAAACAACACCTTACTTTCTTGGGCTTTCTATGGATCTAGCCTCACTTTCTGCCCACACCCTTTATCCTGTGGAAATAAAGAAGTGCCCTAACTGGGTGAATTTAAAGTAAGGTTCTTAATACTCCCTCTGCACAAACACTTCTTTATTCAGAAACTTGAACACAGTGGGGAGAAAACCCAAACACATTTTACCCTCTGAATTTCTGTTTCTGTTACCCATGTCGAGCTTAAAAAGTTTTTTTTCCTTAATCCCTTGATTTTGCTTTCTCTCTTCTCTCTTGCCAAAAAGAAGAGTAAACTTGAGCTGCCACTCATCTCAGATACACTTAAATGTGCCTGAGAAATTTCAATATTTAATTTGCATGCATAAGAGCTTTAAAAATTCACCATAGCTTCATTTTTGTTTGTTGGATCAAATTTCATTAACTGAGACTAATGTGGCTACTTTTCAGAATGATTCATAAATCATATTAAAAAAATCATTAAAAATTTTTTAAAAATCATTGCAGGACCTACAAAAAGATTACATACTGTAAATTAGTTTGCACAGTTGGCTTTTGTGAAAAAAGGTAGTTAAGAAGAGTGCCAAGGCACAGCATCCGCACTGCAGATAAAGAACAGATTGAGAGGGCAAGTTCTTTAAGAGAAGGACACTCAACTGGAAAATCTTTAATCGCATTTGGGATACGGGAGACCAGGAACAAGTAAATTCCAGAGCTCAAATTTCTATGAACTTTAATCTGACACTGTGCCAAAAACTAAGTCCTAAATTCTAAGAAAACAGTAGTAAAGAAGACTCCTTCGTCAGGATGGGTTTGTTGAGGATGAGTTTATTGCTAAGGCGAGGATGAAGGGCTGGGGGAAAGTACTGAAAAGGAGAAAGAATGAGGATTAAAAAACAAAAATAAAAACAGAGAAAAAAAAGCATGAAAAACAAATTGAAAAGATAATCACCAGAACACTCTGTTCTTCCAAAGGGGCCAGATCCTACTTCCTTCTATCTTAATACCAACTGGTGGCTTGAAGACGACCCGACATGAAGCTGGGTAACTAACAACTTGAATTTCAAGTCAATGGTACTCAGGACAATCATGAAATAACAGAAGTGAGAGGAGGCTGTCTTGAAAATCTGAATCTAAGAGTTAAAACAAGGAATTCTTTTCATACTTGGTGGGCCACGTGGGGGGAGGAGGTCTTTCATTTTACTCTAACAAGACCCTAAGTAAAGTGTTCTGCATTGCAGATATTCTACTATAAATGTGTATCCATACACAGGATAAACTTGAGGGCTTCACATTGCCTGGAAAGTTTGGGGATGCACAGTTTCCGGTTTTTCAAGAGCATGGCAATTAATTTCAAAAGGGAAGATTTAACTGTACCTTAGATTGGGATATCCATCCAACGGGTCTTTCAAAATAAAAAATCAATGCCAATAAACATTGTAAGGAGAAAAGAATGATGTGTTCAGTTTTTTTTTAAGTTCTGTAAATTATGCAATCCCTAAAAATGTGTTTGCCTACTGACTGCTAGATTCTGTTTAGTACTAGGTTGGATAGAAAGTGTTTATACCACCAGGGAACAGACCATAAACAGCCCAGGAGACTGTGCTGTTCTATACCCTGATGTAGGTACCTACCAAACTCCAGGATATACTGATGGGCTTCATCCACATAGCGAATGAGTTGCTGAAGGAAACTATAGGCAAATCGTTTCTCAATGGAAGGTGTGTCCAATTCCAGGTCCTTGAATCCCCTAGAGCAGCAAAAATGAAACATGGAAACCAGTTTCTACACAGACTACTGGAAGGTAAAATTTTGCTTAAAAAGTATAAATGGTATATACAAATGTGGAACATTACCTAATATTCTTGTAGCTACAGGCAAAAGTGAGATTTAATTTATAAGGAATACTTTGCATATGATATAAAACTGTAGTGAGTAACTCTATTACTATGCAAAAAAAAAAAAAAAAAAAAAGACTCACTTTAGAGAAACAGTGGGTCATTTCTGCCCCCAATTTTTGCCTAAATGATGGATGGGATTTAACCTAAGTAGTGAAAGGAATCAGGTAGGTGGTAAACAGTCAAGGGCATTTATGTTTCTGATGTGTTTATTTTGAACATACTAAATAGTAGCACTAAGATTTAAACGGGTCCTGAATCATTTGCAACATTAAATATGATGGGGATATTTAAACGGTCAGTCTTTATAACAAGGGTATATACTGGCACGTGTGCTTTTACCTGGATACAGCATATCCATTGATCTGTAAGAACTTGAGGATGTCCTGTGCTTTTTCCCTATCCTTGGCTTTCTCTTTGGCTGTCAGTGTATCATAGGGTACCAGCAGGGGATGGTTTCCACCTCCTAAGAGCATGTCAAGACAAGAACACAGCATCGCGATGAACAAATAATCTGAAATATGACAGATGACGTGCATAATAGGACCACACTACAGAACTTCTGGTATCCTCTAGTTATATACATGGAGTATACATAAATCATATATGGCTCTTGACTCTCCAGCACCTTTTATTTTATTTTATTTTATTTTTTGACCTTGAATTTTATTTTATTTTATTTTATTTTATTTTATTTTATTTTATTTTAT